CAAGATTTTAATTAAGTCAAACAGACATGTAAGTATTGTTATTTCTGAAAAGTTTGGTTATAATTGCCTAAAAAATATGGCAATATAAAAAACCCTCCTTTGATTATTTTAGTGGTTGGTTTTGAGTAATTTCAAATTATTTGTAATCTGATCCTTACATAATATTTTTCCTTCACATAACAGATCATGGCCAAGATAATACAAATATTGTTTTACAAAGAGGTTTTATGTCACCTTCAGACTGATTAGAAAATAAATGCCCAGAATTGTGGTAGATAGAATAATGTCACCCAAAAATGTCCATGGCCCCCCAATCTCCAGAACCTACAAATGTGTTATCTCACATAGCAAAAAGGATTTTCCAGAAAGATTAAATGGAGGACTTTGATATGGGAAGATCGCTGTAGACTGTCTACATGGTCCCAGTAAAAATCATCAAGCGGGAGACAACAGGCTCGCAGTCAGAGAAGAGAAGTTGGAGCGATGTGTTTTGAGAAAGGAGGAAGGAATCATAAGTCAAGGAATGCAAGGCTCTAGATGCTGGAAATGACAAGGAATTGAATTTTCCATAGAGTCTCTAAGAGGAACCAGCTTTTTCTGACACCTTGGCTATAGACAGCCCAATGAAATTGATTTTGTACTCCTGACCTCCCAAAATGTATGATAGTAAATATATCCTTTTATAAATCACTGTTTGTGGTCGTTGTTATAGAAGCAATAGGAAACTAATATAAGAATCAGTCTTTGATTCATCCATATTAATATAACATTAAGAGGAGTCTTCTAAATATTCTTTTAGAATGTCACCATGCAAGAACTGCATTATCTTTTAAAATTCTGCTTTTATGCTTGTGATAAGTATCACTGAGTTTAAGTAAATCATTGGAACAATGCTTGTAATATTTACATATTTTATTCTTCATTTGGCCGCTCCCAATTATTTGAGAAAAGAGAAACTTGAGATATTGGTTTTTAATAATAATACTTATTTTCTAGGGCTTTTCAGGCATGTATAGGAGACCATGTAATTGGGTGATTTCCTTTTCCAATATGTCTACTAATTTTCCTGACTAAATCTCCTGTTTCAAGCCTGAATCCCCTTAGAAAAAACACCATAAATTCCCCTTTATCAGTACTTTTTATTACAGAATGTGTTATAGTTTCCTGATGTCTAATTTTAAAGCCTTCCATTGGCTTATCTGGATCGTGATTGCCATTTTGAATACTGACAATATTTACTCTTAGATAAAAGCTTCAGAAATGCCCTTATGCAGTATGCTTACTTCTTTTATTGTGCTATGAAGATTAAAAAAAATTCATGGATGGGTTATACTAATCCTTTCCTAGTATTCCCTACCTTGTTTTTTTAAAAACCCTTTTTTATCTGAGACAATAATAATAAAGCCAACTGTCTGGTAAAGATCTTGTAGTCTAAGACAGAGAGCTCCTAACAAAAATCCTAAATTTTGAAGCAAGTTCTAAATTAACTATTTTTCCTTTAGGAAAATATTTAAATATAAGATTTAGCTTTGTTCCAGATCAAAGTTCAAATTCATCTTCTATAAAGCTTCCTTATAGAAAAATAATTTTAAGAGGTTCATTGTGCCATGATGTGATTTCCTTTTTCCTAAGAAAAACCTAAATATGTATTTAACCTATTTGGCTCATTTTACTTAGGGTAAAAATAAAAATATTTACAAAAAATAAAATTTTTGTATGTATATGTATTATATATATCAAAATACATTTATACACACACATATAAAGAGAGAGAAGAGGGTTGGTTTCAGAAGGTTTGAGGTGGAATTAAAAATTTTATTTAGTTTTTGCTTAGAAAATGCTTGAGAGAGAAAATAATATTAGATCATTTCATTTTTAAGCATCAGCATACAGATCAGCAGAATCTGATCCCTGAATGATTGAATGTCATTTTGCCTCTGTTCTTCTCTAGAATTGTTCTTAAATGTATTATAGAAATGCACATTCACCATAATCATAATTTTGCATCATTTTTATTGGAATTTTATCATTTGTAAAGAAAAATATAAGATCAGTAAATCCTGACACAGGTAAATCCACAGAAAATGTAAGTCAATCAAACTGTATGCTTATTGATGGTGTCTCATGTTCACAGCCAATCAGAAGGTATGGAAGGACTTCAAGATCAATAGTACAGTAATAGACCCCAGACTAAGCTAAGCAGAGTGACTTTTAAAAATAATCATCATTGCTTTTTTTTCATTGTGCTTATTACTTTGCAAACATTCTGGTTACGTGGGTGTGATGTGCTACAGTAGAAATATAAATTTTGAATACAAAATCACCCAAGTTCAAATCTCAACTAAAATATTTTTAAGCTCAGCTTATAAGTACCTCTGATCCTCTTCAAACAGGATTAATGAATTAAAATGACGCTACTAATAACCATATCAGGATAACTATATTTATTCAACAAGTAAAAGGATGTAAAATATTTATTACAATACCTGATAATTTGCAGGAGTTGGCTCATTAATTATTACCTTCTTCATAATGTTGGTTAAAGTTTTTACTAAATTTAAACATAGAGTAAGTGGCCTAATAGAATATTAACATTTTTTTTCTGACTTGATAATTTATTGTTTCCTTTTTTAGGCTGTACAGGATAATTTCCATATTTTCTTAAAATACCTTGAATCCTAGAAGTTAGTAGTTGTGCTTGTATTGTTTTCTCTCTCTTCTTTGAAAGCCATTTAATACTGGTTTCTTAAACATTTAACTGAGAGACCAAAATCTCTCTTCACCACTTTCTTCATCAGGAGTAAGTTTGTTCTTGTGCAAATGAATTCCCACAGGCCCAACACAATATTGCTCTTGAATGAGAACACAAAAGAGAAATTCACAAGGATCTGAAAACATAGATAACTATCAAAGCACCAAAATGAATTATAATAACCTGGAAAGTATACTACTTTCAAGAAATTAATCACAAAGAAATATTTACAAAGTGCTATTACTTATAAATTTTAATTTAAAAAAGTAAAACTGAATTTTAGGACACAAATGCATCTGATAATAAGTTTAGCATTATGAATTTATTGATAGCCATTGGAAGTGATTGACTGGGTTTTCAGCATGGACAGCAACTGAGCTCAATTTTGTAATCAAGAAACACTTTCTATTTTCCTTCTTTTTTCTCTATGACTTTATTTTCCAATGAAGGAATAAATTTAGAAAATTATTTATATTATGAAATTGAAAGTTACTACAAAGTTACTACAGAACTGTTTAGTAAGGATAACCATCTGAGGACATTAGATACAGACAAATCCATGGAAAACGTAAGTCAAACAAACTGTGTGCTTATTAATGGTAACTCATGTTCCCACCCAAAGAGAAACTATGGGATGACTTCATGCTCAAGATCAAGATATCTTATGATAGAAACCAAATAGAAAAAACACTGCATCTTCACTTTAACAAAAAGTACCAGAGATGTTTTTTTTTTTCATTAACACTGGGCTAAAGATTCCTCTCTTCTATCTTTCTTTCTTTCTTTTTCTTTTTTAACTAAAGATTCTTAGTGATACCGGGGCTACTCCATCTGCCATTTTTTATAAGCTTTGAATATTCATGTCAAAAATTTAAACCCAAACGCCATTAACATCAATTAACATAAAGACTTACCAGCTTTCAAGAGATGTTCATGTTGTTTTGTAAAATTACAAGCCAAAGTATGAACATAATGTTAAATGTATCATGTTAAAAATTATTTATAAAATTCAAAGGGAATATTTGTACTCTAATTTATGGTGTCAAAGCTATACATTTAGATTTGCATAGAGTGAATAGAATCAAATTCTTCATACTTGAATAATCTACATCTGAAAAGCTCTCATCAGATGGTAATATTGTACCAAATTATTCATGTATTCTGCAGCATATATTATTTAATGCTCTTACTTTATATGAACAAAACACTTTTTGGAGAAAAGTTTTTCTACTTTTAGAAAGTCATTCTTAGAAATAATATTAAAGAATACATATATCAGTTTCAGACTACTTAGTTATGAATCTAAGATGTTTATTTGACCTTAGATAAATTGCTTAATTACTTTAATACTCATTTTCTCCATCTAAAAATGAGTATAGTACACATCTTTACAGGTCTCCGTAGACATTGATTAGGAAAATCCACAGCAAATTGCAAAGTATCTAGTGCATGACAATCACTCAATAAATATATGAAGTTATTATGATTGTTATTACCACTGTTTTTGCAGGTTGCATTTCACAGCCAGCTAACTCTGAGGAGTTTAGCATTCAGAATGTTTATTTAATGTCTGTGGAACTGAGGAAAAGAAGGAAGGGGTAGAGACAGGGAGAGGCTAGCTGTCATGGAGGCCTAGTGTCAGCCTCAGCCAACCGCACTGTGAGTTCTGGAGCCAACTGAGCCAGGTTTTTAATCTTCCTCGTCAATCAGTCACTTGATGACTGGGCCTTCCTGGGCAGGGAGCCGTCTTCAGCAAGCAGCTCTATGTAGCTATGGAAATCACTGAAGTTGCCTGAGAGCTGAAATTTGACTTTTACCAGCCCTTTCTGCAGCTGGAGCAGCAAGCCTTTTGCTGAAGGAGAATTTAGGTGGCACTTTACAATGTCCACCAAAGTTATTAATGTTATGTCATATTCTTCAGTTGATTTTACATAACATCAATATTACAACTTCAAATAATTATAATTGAAGTCTTATTTTTCAAGTTTCTTATGTCATTGATAAAAAATGATTCCCAAATCAGCTAAACATGATACTATTTTTGTAGAACTTAACATTCATTGATATCGTAGATAAGTCCTTAGTAAATTCACTGGATCTAGAGCTAGATGAAGATTAAGTGTGGGTTTACCCTACCTCTTGGCTTTTGTTTCCATTCTACATTGTGGAACAAATATCCACAGTATATTTGTTCCATTCCACATTGACCCAGTATGAGAAATGTGCCCTTAATAATGAAATGACATTTGTGCTCACTTTGGCAGCATATATACTAAAATTGGAACGATACAGAGATTAACATGGCCCCTGTGCAAGGATGACACCCAAATTTGTGAAGCGTTCCATATTTTTTATAAAAAAATAAAAAAGAGTCCCCCCCAAAAAGAAATGAAATGACATTTATTAGCAGTTACCAAAGGGAAAGGGGTTGGGGAGGGTGGTTGGAAAGGGAGGGATAAGGGGATTAAGGGGCAATACAATTAGCACATATAATATGGGGAGGTATAGGGAAGGAAGTATAGCACAGAGAAGACAAGTAGTGACCCTATAGCATCTTACTATGGTGATGGACAATGACTGTAATGGGGTATGTGATGGGGACTTGATAATAGGGGGGAATGTAGTAACCACAATGTTGTTCATGTGAAACCTGAGCTTAAGATAGTATATCAATGATACCTTAATAAAAAAAATATGAAATGACATTCTAAACATGTGCTAAACATTTCCCAGGAAATAATAAAACACTTTACATGCATGATCTCTTATTTTAATCTATATTAATTATTCCCATTTTGCTGAGGAGGAAGCTGAGTTACTGTTGTTAAGAACTTCCTTAAGGATCATGTAAGTGGGGAAAGAATTTGAACCTGGTTAGTTATATTCTAAACCATAGGCCCATGAACAGACTGTTTTTGGCTGTTTAATATCCTTAGATTGTAAAATCAAAGAAACCCAAGCCACCACACTTACATGCATCGTTTCTGAGTTGAAGTGTTGTGTGCAAAATGTGTGTGCCTGTGTGTGCAGGGAGGGCTTGCTTACTTAAGCACACATTTACATTTAGAAGTCAAAATCCCTGTTCTTAAAATTCTTTCTCCTCATCTCCGCACAGCATTCCCCGGGCCTTTCAGTTCGCAGGTGCCTCAGATCTACACCATCTTGCTGCCTCTTCTCTTTCTGTCTTTTGTCTGCCTCTGTGGATTTAACTCAGATTTCTTTCTTCAGTTTTAAATAGAAACAACAAAGTCCCAAACTTCACAAACTCTTCCAAATCTACCCTGGAGAGAGAGAGCAACTTAACCACTGTAAAAAGCGCATAGTGTGTACACACACACACACACACACACACACGTCATGGTTTTGTGCTGTGTGTTTCTGATTTCTTACCAACATACACTTTGGAATTTCAACATACTATCTGAGCTCCTTATTAATACATTTTTCACCGTGGTGTCCTCTTACCAAAAGAACTTTTATGGCAGCTGTTAAAACACATATTTCATCACTCCTCAGACAGCACAATATCTAATGATTTTTGGCTTTATTTAAATGAAAAACTCCTCATTGATTTAATTCTTCATATTAGTAGGTAATTAACTCTATGGGGACAATTTTCTCAACATTGATGGAATTTTAATACCCTGGATTTGACTATCAAAAAGAATGGGTTGCAATTAAGAAAATGTAAGGCCTGTAAACTCTAAAATTTTGTGATCCTAGAATAGTGTTTTTATTTGGTAGAGGAAGTTAAACTTTCCTAATTTCATGCCAGCCAGTGGATAATCAACAATGTTACCTGATTCATTTTTTGCTTTCACATACTGTCTGATAGATTACATAGAAATTTCAAATTACTTTTAATATAAATAAACTTAAACATAATTTGGAAATTAAATAATAATAAATAATAAAGCAAAATATGATGAAAACTATCAATTCATAAAAACATACTGGCCAACTTGATTCACTTTTAGTAATTATCTTGATAAAAGAACAATGCAACAAATATTATAAGTTGACATAGAATTATTTTAAAGAAAAATTGTTAAGGCAACTTGAAACCAATAAAATATCCAACTCTTCATAGATTCTTAATCAACTGATCTTACTTAAAATGTGGACGTATGCTTTTAGTGGTTGATATGTTAAGGAGTCTATGTTAATCTCATGGATAACTGTTTGTATATTTTAGTTTTGTATAATATTAAAATAAATTAGAAACCCTTTAATCATCCTTCTACTCTTAATCTACCATTACCTTTATTTCTAAAGATATAAAGTTCATAATTTCTATACCATTAAAGCATGCATTTAAATGTACCATTTTTATTAATCTTTTTCAGACTACTTACAGTATTAAGACACATTGAAATTAGATTTTAAATTAAAATGTCTTCTAGACTTGCTTATTATGTAAAAGAAAAGATACTACAATATTTCAGTGGGTACATCAGAAAGACTAAAAGAAGATTTTCTTGTTCATCTACACTTCTTTCCTGACTTTAAGAATAGAAATACTGAGTGTAATTGAGACAAGATGCATTCCCTAGTTTTGATATCAATTTCACTTTGCTTAATATTTGAGAAAAATTGAGGCTGGAAGCTTAGGGGAAAGATGAAGTAGAATTGAGGTGTTCAAAAATATAAGAAGTGAAGATCAAAAAGTATTTTACTGCAGGCTCATATTTAATAAAATATGAAAGAAAAATGCATTAAAAAGGAATTATAAGGACAGGGAAGATATTCTTGCAAGCTTATCCTCAATGATATCTTTTTTTTTTCAAGTTAATACAATTCAACCTTAAAAAAAAATCTTTGCCATATCCCAGGTGCCATTTTAAAGCATTACAGATATAAAAGCTTAATATACCTTTATAGAAGGATATTTTTAGAGCCTCTGACCCACTCTACCTCTTGGAGCTCTTTAGTACTACCAATTGAGACTTTATCAGGCACTCCAGGGTCTGTCCATCCTCAGGCTGAAGAAGGCTGCCTTGACTCAGGGCTGCCTAAGTCAGAAGGAATTAAGAAGCCCAGGGTGACTACCTGAGGGGAAACACTAAGTCATCCTCGCGCATGTTCAGGCACTGTCTTTGTATCCTGATTTAGTAATTGGTCTTATCAGCCTGTTATTGGTACAAAAGACCTCATTTAAGTTTTTACTCTTAAATTTTGTTTAGGGATCCATTCTACTTGAAGTGTGTTCCTAACTATGTTTTGGAAAACTCTGAACTACTGACAGGTGACTTTAATCCTCCCCCCCACTGACAAACGTCTCTAATGCTAAGTATGAACCTATTGTCTGGTGTCTCTACACTATTGTGTCATAGCTAATAACATCCCATCTGCCTCCACTGATGCCTACGTATTTAACTCATCTGACGCTTTCTGATGCTATCCAGAGTAAAACCTTTTTTCTATGACCCTTTTTCTAGGCACTCTTAAAACCATGATTTACTCTCAGGCAAGAGGTACCTATGCCTCCTTATATTTTCTATTTGCCATAGCTCTCCATTGGTGTGATATTTGTAATTACAACTAAGCTCCCAAGGGCACTTTTTACAGTGTGGGAATATTATGATGGTGACAAGAATGTGAATGATGCAAAAATTTTTTAAAGTAATAATATCAAGTGTTACAAGACAGCTACAATTTTTATGGGTGCTCAAAAAAAAAAGTCACATCTAATTAAGGGAAGGCAGGGTGGCAAAAGTTCTGAGGTAGAAATTTTGTAACCATGTCATATGAAATTGTACCTATAAAGCAGATTTTTGAGTTTTATTTGGTAATAATAAGGAATGTGGAGCCAGAATCACTATTTCTAAATCTCTCCCCTGTTGAGTGATCTTTGCCAAGTAAGTAACTTAGTAATGTTTTGCTTGATTAACCTTAACCTTATCTACAAAATGGTTACTTACTATAGAATGTTTGAGGATGAGATTAGATACCACTACACTGTCTGGCATTAGCTAAGCATTTGTAATTACTACTGTAATTACCATCATTTTATTAAATAAAATAGCAAAATAAGTTTAAAAGTGGTAAAGCATAGTGTATTCAAAAAACACTTCAGTGGACATGACAAAAGTTGATAACAAATTACCTGGGCCTGCTTAATACATTAATTTTTCTCATCTATTTGTTATAAATGAAGAGGCACATATATGCATGAGGGGTGTGGAGACTGTTCATAGTGTCATGTTGAGTGTTGCTATGATTAGCCTGGAAATTTCTGTAAAGGAATCAAACTTACTGAGTTTTGTGGATAGAGCAAAATACGCCCAACAAGACATTAAAGTTTTACTATATCTTAAATTTATAAACATGTTAAATTGTGAAAAACATTAAACATTTTATCCAAAGGTTTAAAATTAAAAATTTTATTCAAAAGTTTCTTTAAAAACCAAGAGATGGGAAGCAAAAAATGTTTTTTTTAATTAAAAATGTGGAAAATATTGAATATCAAGAAATTATATTAAAATGTCATTTATATCTTTGGTCAAAGGAGAAGAGATGCCATTTATGAAGTCTACATTGATTTAAGCCAACCTGGCTTTTTAATAATTATCAGTTTCCTTTTAGTAGTCTCAGATAATTATGAGTAAATAAAATTTTAGATCTTCTTAGTGACATAATATAGTAAAAGTAAGTTTCTGACCAAATTCTGATGTAGAACGTCATAAAGATTCATTCTTAACTGCTGCAAAGATTTGTCTCTCATATATATTTTTTCAATTTTGCTTTATTTCAAGATTTTACCCAAAGGTTTCATAGTGAGACAGATGCATCTGTAGTTTACAATTTAAGTTACAAACAAAAATAACCACACATCCACACATATTGTTGTAAATACTGGGGTATTTTTTTTTAATTCCAGACAACATGTCTGGGCAGTCAAGACACATGGAAAAAGGTAGACAAGGGAGAAACTAGAAATAGAATGATAAGGAGAATATTATAATTATTTAAATTAGAGATAATAAGAGCACCAAATTTGGGAATGTTGGAGGAAATGCTGGTACACAAATCCCTGTAGGTGAAGGAGTATCTGCTAAGGGAAGTCTTAGTGTCAGAGAGTATCATGAGATGTAGATCTGGACTACTAGAAATGTAAGCAAAGAGTATTTAGGAAGTTAATGAGCTTAGCAGAAGTCTAGGAAATGAGTCTGTTTAGTCCATGAGTACATCAATGGTATCAGTTGTTTGTATCACAACTGATCCCAAAAATATATTTTTATCAAAGTGAAGCCACAGATTTTCTCATTGTTACGGTAATAGTCCTAAATATATGTCCCATATTGTTTTATGATCTTGATCCAGCTTAATTATTCTTTCATTTACTTCAGGCA